AAGCAGTAGAAAAGAAGTGATACGAAAGGTATGATGCCGCATTGTCATGTGCTCGCTTGAACAACTCGTGGAGAACGAGTTTGGCACCGCGCCAAACGCAGCCGCACGAACACGCCCAACCGTCCGCAATGAACTACACTATATATCACCTCCACTGTATTCAACGCTTTATCGCAGCCTCATATGGGCCCATAAGAGCTACCAAGCCAAGATATAAGTTTTTGTAAAGCTTTTCGTGGAACGCCTTCGTCGTCTATGTGCCAAGGCGGTGCGATTGTTTGTACCGCCATCTTACACGCAAGGTACTTGGTTGAAAACGCTTTCCTTGAATAAGGTAGTCCTGTGAGCATGAATACATGATATGTCCCTTTGGCGGCTTAAAAATACGTGCTGAAGACGCTATTAGGTTACAACAAAGACAGTGCTCCGCCCACTGCTCTACGCTGCTGCGCTGTACTAAATCCAACGTTCATTGCTAACTGGTACCTGATAATGCGGTCGTTCTGCTACATTCTCTTTCCTATTTCTGATGATGAGTGTGAGTTGATAACGGAAAAGAGCTGACATAGTTACGATACCAAAAAGTGAGACCTCGTTCGTGTACGCCCTCTCGTAGGCGAGCACGTCGATGGCTTGAACAAGTTCGGCATGGAGTCCTGTTAGAAGCATTTTAGAAGCTTTTTCTGATTTCTTCCTCCCCTGTTCAGTTACTCTCTAGTTCGCTGGACGGTTGGGCGTGTGAGGCGGTATGAGTGTGTCACCCCATCAAAGCCGTTCTCTGCCTTCTTGTTGAAGCGCGCATGCGACAGCCCGTGGTGGGAGAACGGGTTTGGCACCGCGCCAAACTCATCCCACCTGACACGCCCAACCGTCCTCAGCGAACTACACTATATTTACCGCCTCATCATTCGTATTCGAGTCCTACTATCACTATTCTCAATTGCGGGACGTACCTTTGAAGACGCGTTCCCCTGTCGAATGCACGGCTTTGGCCCGATATTTCAAATTGGCCTAGTCGTGGCAGCTGGTTTTTTTCGGTTCCACTGAATGTTACAGGCATTCCATGAAACTACGACGAAGAATAAGTGTGAACGATCCCCTTGCGATCACCATTTGACTATTACTTAAAGATAAGTACCAGTATGGGTGGGAGGCGGTCTTCTATCAGCATGTGGTACTGAATGTCAAATTTGCAAGAACAGGAGAATTTTCAGGAGGAACCGATGCAGTCATGATCCCTGCAAATGACAGAACGGGTAACGATACGTGGCTTGAAGGCAGCCAAGGCGGTTTTTCCACCAATGGAACCATCCTGAGCACGCCAAATTCGGTGGGAAAGGCTGCCGTGGTTCACTCCAAACCAGCCCCTTCACATCCTATCGTTTGCTGCTGTCATCCTACTAATATAATCGGCTATGTCCGTGTGTGTGTGTGTCGTCTGTCTGTCTGTCACGAAATTCATAGCACCTGAAGAAGAACTTGGAGAGGTCGGAAACAGTGCAGTAAAGTTAACAAAGGCCTGACCGACCAAACAGAGGAGACACACTCGAAATGGGCGGGGCGTACTTGAGATGGGCGGCGCTTCCCGTGTCACTGAAAAATCACCATAACTTGGCTACAAAGCAGCTCGGAGACTGGAAAAAGTGGAATTAGGTTAGCACTGGGTTGGCACACCAAAAGGAGGAGAGACACCCGAAATGGGCGGGGCGTACCTGAGACTTACCACAAAGGTCGGTAACTCGATCCCCGAAAATGTTTAGGGATCGGAGAAAAGTCCATGACGAAGATTAACGTCTGGCAAGAGTCCACCATGTTTACGGCGTGCTGAGGCCCGCCTACAGTGGGCGGGGCGTGCATTTGAGCACGAGGAACAGTATAAAAAGTCGTAGTTTGGTCCTAAATCACTGCAGATGGTGCCAAAAAGTGGATTATGGTCCCCAAGTGATCAAATGTAAGAATGTGCGAGGCACTCCCGTTGAGGGCGGAGCCTGCACCGAGATGGGCGCAGCCAAATTCGGAAAGAATTCGCAAAATGTCCAAAGCACTCCAGACACCGGGAAAAAGTAGTTTAAGATCAGCGAGGGTTATTAGTTGAGAAGCGCGAGGCATACGTTGTGGGCGGGGCGTGCCCCGAGGTGGGTGGAGCCGAATTTAAAAAATTCGCAAACGGTTTCCAGAGCACAGACACCGGGAAAGTGGTTTAAGATCATCGAGGGGTCACCGGTTCACAAGTGTAAGGCATATCTGTTGTGTGTGGAGCGTGCGTCAAGGTGAGCGGGCCAGCCTCAAAAATTCCTCAAGCGGTTCCAGAGCACTCCAGGCACTCCAGACCTCTATGTGATACGGCCCGGCTTTGCGGGGCGTGGCTCCATCGCGCCTACCTGCATTCGTATGATCAAATGCTCGACTAATACCCGGCTTTTCTCTCATCTGTCCACTTGATCAACGCTCCTTACCACCACTCCATACACCGTAATAGTGTTGAAAGGAGCAGGTATGATGCTATTGGTCAAAGAATGTTGACCACCTGTTCAGGTAAAAGAAAAGCCTGATACTAGGCGGCTAATGAAATGTGTGGAAGAAGGTAAGCGCGGCGGAGCCGCGCCCGCTCGACGAAGCCGTGCTGTATCTCAGAAGGGGCGCCCGGTGTCAGCCGGCTAAGCCGGCTGGTGACTGTATATGCTATCAACAGTAATCGTGCATCTTGCGTTTGTAGTGCAAATAAAAATGAGCGGTCTTATTTGTAGAATGCCGTACTTGGTCGCTGAAAGTGCTCGTTCGCGTTTGGGAAAAATTCCCCGATCCGCGGGGAACTTTTCCAGTAGATGGCTTTTCTCGGTTTTTGCCGTTTCATATTCGCTATACCTCCCTCATCTTCACTTGACAGTGCTGAGAACCACCATTCAACTGCTACCCCTTCCCGATGGCGGCTTTCGTAGAAAAGCAGAAAGAAATTCAGAGGTAGTAGAAAGTTGGGAAAACTCAGGAAAATCATGAGTAGGATAGGGGAAGGGTGGTACCAGATGAGGAGGAAATTCCAATGGATGGGGTGGTAGTTTCGTTCCCACACATCACAATTCTGTATCCTGTTCTGGAATAAGCATTCTACAACCGCAGCAGTATGCGATGAACGCATTTCTTGCTCATTATCGTTACTGTACTCGTCGTTTTCCGCAATATTGCGTGGCGAGGCGCTGCAGCGTTTTACCGCCAATTCAAGGATTTTGTTTTGACTGGTACAGGTCTTGTTGTATTTAAGAGAGTTTTGTCATTTTTGTGGTTTTTTTTTCGATAAGCTGACTAATATGTTTAATTCTTGATCGTAGCAATGTTTTCAGGCTTTGTTGGATACTGTCAGATAGTTAGAAAAGCGTTACTTTTACCTATACGTTTTTCAGAATTGTCGTTTTTGTTGGTACCCGGTATGTAAAGTTTCATTATTTTATATGTGATTTAGAATGACGAGCTTGAGAGGTTTAAGGCCAAGGCAAACGTCTACGGCTGCTGTTCTCGCTCATACTCCCTTGAAAGAGACACGACGCACAAATGTCCTTGGTGGGTGATTATGTAGATAAATACTTGTTTAGAAGGTCAGATTGATGGTGAGGGCAGGTGTTACTGCTCAAGTTTTTAAACCAAGTCACAGAGCAGAGTCACACGCGATAACGCGCGCGAAAAGTTAACAGACGTAGCAATAGTTTTCATTATTTGTATTAGTTTGATCTTCCAATTAGTTCTCAAATACCTCCTGTTGAATATGGGTCATTGACAAGAATATTAATAATTCGGGTAACAACAGACAAAACAACGCTAAGTTGGAGTGAGGAAGAAACATTTTCCTCGTTCGAAGCCAAGGTACGCCCTATACATGGGTGCGCCTTATTTTCCAGATAGAAAGGTACACATCTGTCATCCTACTTCTGGATTCCTTTCTGCAGTATGGCAACCAGAAGTGACAGTAGCATATCTCCTGTGCATCTGCAAACTGTTGAGCGCCAACTTAGTTGAAGGAAAGACCCGAAGAAATAGTCCCGCAGAGAAGATATAATCTTTACTGAGCCTGAGCGTTGATAAGAGGAGGGGACGCGGAGGCGCTGGCGAGTAGTCCTCCCCCTCTCCTACCCCCAACTACATTAGCGCCGATTGTGGTTGCTTAAGGTCGCCGATCACTTTCACGAACAGCCAAAGTCCTCGCTGAAGTCGATGGATATACTGATCAGCTCTTCTCTCCACCAAAACGTCACATACTGAGAGAGGAAAATGGAGCAGAAACTCCTGCTACAAAGATCTCAAAGAAAATGTCGGCAAAAGTGAGTTATTTCTAGGCGTTACTGAGTTTTGTTTCCTGCGACATCGACATAGGTGGTGAATATATGCAATGTTTTTCTATATTTAACATATGTTCTCTTTTCAGTTGGTGATTCGATCCCCGGAATCTGTGGGAGACGAGAATAAGGGGCAGATGTGAGGGCGCCTCGCACTGCCCATCGTCGTTTGGTGTTGAAGGCACCATCACAGGTCACTCGATGTGAGGTTCGTTGTTCCCAATTTTACTTTTTTCTGATCCAGGGAATTTAAGGTGGGATCGAGGTAATTGGAGAGTGCGTGAAAGGACTGGGTGCGTACAGGGCAAGGGAATTGGGGAATTGGGGCATCGTCGGTTGTCTTATTCTCCAAATCGATTCCTACAGTCTCGTTCACTGCGGGTGATCAGGAGGGATTGGCTTGGCGCGGCTCCAAATCCCTTTTTCATCAGTTGTCAAGGTGAATGAGCTACAAGGCTGTCGTGTCGTTCTACTATTTATTGTCGTTTACTCGCTTAAGAACTGATGGAGAACGAGCTGGCGGCGCTCCAAACCCTGCTTCACTGACACGCCCCATCCATTACCCCCCCCCCCCCACTCCCCTCCTTGAACAATCCTGTAGAGTTGTTTTCGCCATTTCTCCGATTTTTTTTCTTCAATCCCACGATAGACTACTCAGTTTCGCAACTTGTGTGACGACAGCGATGCTTGAATGTCAGAAGAAATTTGCTTTTAATACATTCCGGACGCCGTTGTGCCAAGATCTCCTTATCATCCCATCAATTTGTGGATCGGCAATCAGTAGTTTCATCTATTTCTTCCACCTTCCTATGAGAATGCGATCGTGTGCCCAAAAAAGTGTTTTGATAATATTGAAGCACGAAGAAGATGCCATATAGACAATATGAAACAGAGGGGAAATGTATGACACACCATGTGTGTCACGCGGTCCGGAACGTGTTAATGATTTCTATTTCTATGTTTCTTCCTTTTCAGCATTGCCTTTTCGAATTTATTCAACTTCATTCCTTGACCCTTGTTTTCAGCTGGAAATTGCGAATGATGAGAACGTCCCCCCTGCGGGAGACACTGTCGGTCGGCGACTTCCAAGAGATGTCAGAGGAGTGAGTGCTCAATTGCTCCACAGATTTCCGCTCCAGACCTAGCGTAGATACCTCTTCCATTATAGGCCAAAAAAGCTTCGTCACCATCGTGTAATAGGACTCCACTGCGAATGAAAATAAAGAAGTTCGACGATGTGGCGAAGATATGCGAAAGTTCTGTCAGGTCCTGATTTATTACTGACCAGTTTCAGAGCTAATGTGAAACTAAGTATGTTGCAGATATCCATCGTCAACAGCCCATTTGTCTCACAGCAGACAGGTTGCGTCTGACGCTTGTTTAATGCCCGTAGGTTCACTACTTACCTTCTTGGGTACTTTACTTTTTTTCTCAGTTTTCAGAACATAGGATTCGTTAAGGAAACCCATTTACCATCTTATGTCAGCCCAAACAACCCTGTAATCAGTTTGAACAACTGAGTGCAGTGATGTTCTCTGGAAATCTCTAACAAGGGAAGGATGGTAGGTCGAAGTGGCCATTTGAAATGAAATGTATACCGGCTGAAAGGTCTTCGGACGGGAATTACGAAACCGTGTTCCATATCTGCTGCGGACCTCCCAGAAAGAAGTTACGGAGCTTTTTTGGGGAGAATCACTACAAATTGGCGGCGTAAGGCTGTCGAGATCGTGGCAGCATGGCCGAGTGGATACGTCGTAGGGCTCACGGATGCGTGGTCGAGGGTTTGAATCCTTGATGCGTGTGCTCTTTTGCATTTTTTCGAAAGTGGTCCCTGTGCACTTCAAAGCTATTTTGCATAACACTTGTCCATGATAATGTCGTGATGTAATGATTCTGAACTGATGGAGCCATTGCGAACGATTTCATGGAGATCACCTCCGGCTGAAAAGATTGTCATACGAGCCGAAAACTTCCAGCAGATACGAAAACTCTTTGAGATAGACATAATTCAACATTATGCCACTGGTGAATGAAGCTCTTGCCCATCGCGATCTCCAGCATGATTGCCACATCAACGCCACTTCATATGGAAGCATTTTCCCCACTATAATCATCTTCCTGCACAACTTCGGATTCGTTTTCCGGTCATGTCGTTTGGAGAATAAATTCATTTGAAGGCAAAATCTTTCTTTGGAGTGCACTTTTGTTGTATATGCTTTTCAAATCAAAGAAAGAAGAAGACAACAGCCAGAAGTGATCTCTATGAATGGTTCGCAATGGCTCCATCAGTTCAGAATCATTACATCACGACGTTATCATGGACAAGTGTTATGCAAAATGGCTTTGAAGTGCACAGGGACCACTTTCGAAAAAATGCAAAAGAGCACACGCATCAAGGATCAAACCCTCGACCACGCATCCGTGAGCCCTACGACGTATCCACTCGGCCATGCTGCCACGATCTCGAAGCCTTACGCCGCCAATTTGTAGTGATTCTCCCCCAAAAAAGCTCCGTAACTTCTTTCTGGGAGGTCCGCAGCAGATATGGAAGACGGTTTCGTAATTCCCGTCCGAAGACCTTTCAGCCGGTATACATTTCATTTCAAATGGCCACTTCGACCTACCATCCTTCCCTTGTAAGTCTTGTAGAGCAATGAACTAGTGGGAACTTCATTTCCACGGCATTTCTTGAGACATGTCGTCCACGTTGGAGTTGTCACACCTAATGTGGCAACAGCGCAGTCACAATCGTCTCCATACCCCCGAGTTGCTTCAAAGGAACGCCCCGCGTTCAAGAGTGGTGATTTGCGCGGCTGAAATACTAACGACAACTTTACGTTGTTTCATATGACGACTGTTGTTTAACGGCGCTTTTCACGCTTAGAAAGTCCTGCCAAGAATGCTTGGTTGTATACAAAAGTTATGCCTCAGACGGGACGCGAATCCGCATCGCCGTAATGCGTAAATGGGTAACAACCGCCCGGCAAGCCTTAGATGCTGGTTCGAGTCCCGTCCGACGTATGAATTTTGCCCATAACTCACCATTCTTGTGCTGACGACAACATGCTAAATAATATAAAGTTGATGAAAAAGGCAGAAAAACCCGCTCGTAATGGCCGATAACGCCAAAAAAGGAAGCCCCATGCTCAGTCGTGCTTGTTCTGCACGAGGCGAAGAAGGGACGTGGTCCTCACTCTCCCCTTTAGAAACTCAGGCAGCTAGTAGCGGAACAACGGCACCACCATGGAGGCTTTAGAAAAGCTGGGCGTTGCCGTGGTGAGTGGTCGGGGTCGTGGCTTAGTCGCTGGCGGGCTGCACTTCCCTTACGTATTTTTGTGCTGCGAAATTAGTGCTTGGCAGGCAGGATACCATGTCCAATGAAGACATGTGTCAGTGAACGACGGCCTCTGAAATAGATTAAGAGAGTCACTAATACCCGGTTTGACTCGGTTTTGACGAAAAATGTGCTACTTTCGAGCTATGCCAAGTGACACAATTGGTGATTTTTCAGATAAAAACTCGCTTACGGGCTGTTGTTCTGAATGACAAGGGTGCTGTCACATATCGCACAGTGGGGCCTGTAAGTGATCTGATTCTGCTTTCGAGAAAATAAAGGTCTCAAATTGTCTTTAGGATAGTCCGTGGGGTGCCAAGCACCCTCCTGCTCGAATCATTCCTATTTGCGATAAGCTGAAAAAACCATCCCGAGAAACAAAGCGAGTTTGTTCGCGTGCCGCAGAACAACTGGACCATTCCTCTTCAGAAGAAGATTATTCAAGCGACGAAAGTGAGAGTGAAGAGAGCGGCGTAGTTTCTGATGAAGATATAAAAGATGATATAAAAGAGCGGCACAGTCAGCAAAAGTTTGTTCATATCCTTGAATACTTGGTTTTGTCGTACGCTTCTAAACAGTGTGGTTCAGAAGACGATCTGTAGCGCCACCACCAACCCGGTTCAAAACTATCACTAAGTTGTCGCCCAAGAAAAGCCGAAGTATTGCTCAAAATTCTAAACAAGCCAAACGAGTGGGTTTTTTAGTTTATAATAATAATGTGCACTCTATTCAGTTTTATTCAGAAAATAGAAACCTTGGAGGATTTTCGCCGTCGCCTGCATACATCTGAGGTTCCTGAGCGCATGCCTTGTCGTGAAGAGGTTTGGTTACAATATATATTCCTTACCTATCCGTTTTTATTCTGTGGAATTGAAGCTCAGGTCTTCTCCTCTACCACAGCGTTCTTGTTATAGCATACATTTTTTTTTCTAGGAAGCAGCCGAGGTCGAAAAAATTCATTCGCAATGCGATATCGCACAAAGGAACAAGCAGCGCTATGTATATAAGTGGTGTTCCTGGAACAGGAAAAACTGCCACAGTAGTATCGGTAAGCAATACACGAATAAGTGGTGACTAGAGGTTTTTTTCATCAAAACATCCTGCTTAACATACCCTGTTTGGATGATGTGACTTGTAGCATACCATTAGAAAGCTATGCTTTGAAGTATTCCATTCAGCCCTCTCATTTTTAATGCATGAAAAGAACAAATGTAAGGTGAAGAGTTTCTTTTCAGGTTGTTAAACAACTAAGTCAGAATAAATCATGTCCTAAATTTTCATTCGTATATGTCAATGCTATGGAGTTTGTGGAGCCGAAAAAGATCTTCGTTGCGATTTACAATCAGTAAGCTCTGATCTTTATTTAAATGACTGTACTGACCCTTCAAATGTGCCATTTGGGCCTGTTAAGGATTACTGAAAACGAGAAACGCATATCCGCTGAAGCGGCCCGCAGGAAACTCAATAGAATGTTTGAAATGTCCGATAAACGACGTCCACCGATTGTGATTCTCGTCGATGAGCTTGATCAGCTTTGTACTAAAAAACAAGAGGTAACTTAGATCTTCCTTGGTTATAAATACTTGTTGTACTAGAGGCTTGTGAAAATGTTTGTTTGTTTGTTTAGTTTATATACGACATCTTCAACTGGACAACTATAGAATCAGCACGAGTGTCTGTAATGGCTATAGCAAACACTCTTGATCTCCCTGAAAGGATGTTGTGCCCAGCGGATTACTAGCCGTATCGTGAGTTTTGGTATTTTTTTTTTGATAGCTTCGAGCCGGAGGGATTCAGGAAAGGTGGTTTCTCCAACGAGCCACGGAGTTAACGGAAAGGTGGTATATCTGAGTTAGCGGCGAAAGAAATGATCCTACTTTTTACCTGGTGATTGTTCTCAAAGTTTTGCCCTTTACCAACATTTCATCATTTCCTTTTTATCCGTGGTATTGTTCCATTCTGCAGTCGTTTTCGCAGCAGGCACTGGGTCATGTAGGGGGGGGGGCTGTTGTTTGGCGCGGCAACAGCCTGTTCTTCACCAATAGTGGCCTCTTGCTAGCTTCTTCCATTGGTGGAGAACATGCTGGCGCCGCGCCAAATCCACCCCCCCCCCCTCCCAACCCTCGAAACGTTCCAGCGTACGCAGATATCGAGACTGTTACTGTAATTCTGTTCGCCTCTCAAAACTCCCACAAAAAAGGCTGTTATGGGCAAAAGTAGACTCCAGGCGAAATCCGAACCTGCACCTCACGTTTATCGGGCGAGTGCGCTATCTGTTGTGCCACCGGAGCCGCTTCTTATCCTCTCAGCTATGGCAAGCTATAGCACAAAAGCCTTTGAGCTGAGAGGGTGAACATGACCCTTCTGTCCTATAAGATAACGTACTCTTCCTGTAAGCGTGAGGATGTGGGTTCGAGTCCGGCTTATGATCTGACTTTTGCCCATGATTCAGCATTATTGTGATAACATCTGCAACGTTCAAATTATCATTTCGATGTGCGTTTGCAGGGTGCGGCGCGAATTTGCTTCCAGCCGTATGAGTTCCAGCAGATAGAATGTATCATTCGTGATCGCCTCAAAGAGTCTGCCAACGCTATTGACGAAGGCGCTGTACAGTTTGCCGCAAGAAAAGTAAGATTTTTTACACGAATATACTTTGATTCTGGATGGGGCCCCTTCATCGTGGTTTCTTTGTATGGAAATTAATTTCTGTGCTTTAAAGGTTGCTGCTGTGACTGGTGATCTTCGCAGAGCGATGGATTTGTTACGGCGTGCTATCGAGATCGCGGTTGAACAGGGTGCAAAGAAGCTGCTTGTTGAGCATGTGAGGACAGACAGATACTCTATTTTCGAAGATTCCATAATTAATTCTGATTTTAGGTGCTGTCTGCAACTCGTGAGGCATCTTCTACACTGCTTGTACACTTCGTGAAAGGGCTGTCCAAGCACGGTTTACTGCTATTCCGTTCGGCGATAGCTCTGGTATGCTCTATTTCTTTTCGCCTTTCAGTTCTATCTCTGTTTCTCCTTTAATTCAATGTGTTGGGACATTTCGACGGATCAGTCTTCATTTAGGCAGAAAAAAGGGATGACTTCTCGTTTGCTGAGCTTCATGCACAGTACTTATCGTTTGCCACGAACCTCGAAGGTATTGAGCCGCTGGTTGAGTCAATGCTCATTTTGCTTGTTGGACAGTTGTGCTCGTAAGTTCTCAGATTCAGTCCTTCATAACTCATAATGATCTATGGATGTCTGTAGCGGCTAGATTGAGTGTCATTGACTCCGAACATTTCATTTCATGTTCTTAAAGGATTTACGGAAGTCCGTTGCAAGCCTAGCAGATATAAAACAAACATTTCATGAGTGTAACCCATCCTATGCCGTCTGAAAGTGCACAGGAGGCTGCTTCGCTCTTGGTTTACTTCAATTTTGTGCTAATAGTTACCAAAAGTCGCACTTGACGGCTAGCTTTGGTGTTTTGGAACATCATAAAATGTCGAAGTAAGGGCCTAGAAGCACTGGGAGCATCCCTCTGCGAAGATCTACCCTTCCGTTATTCCGCCGGTAAACGTGCAGAAGGACGCGACTGTACGTGCAGCGTGTCGCGCCAGTGCTGTCTGGGACGTTCTGTAGACCTTCCGGCCTTCTTGCACTGAAGACTATCCTTGCAAACGGTGTCATCTAGACGATGTACGCCACCGTACTAATGAAATCGCTCGCATTTTGTCAGCTGTAGTATATCGTTACAAAAGTGATTCAGACGCGTGACGCCCGTCGTAAAACGCATTTCATTTTCATTTCCTTCACACCGAGACAGACTTCGATTTCTTAGGAATACACACGTGCAAATGAAATCATTTTTAAAAAGAATGATGAAACGGGGACAGGGCTCGTGTAGTGGCAAATGGCACGCCTACCATGTGCGCGGTTTGGAGGTCAACTTCGGACCGGCTCCCGCCCAGGCGAACCAAGCCTTTTACCCTCAGGGGGCGCTGATTTGGGTTACAAATTTGCTTGCGAGGGTAAAAACACTGGCTTGTACATCGGCTGCCCCTGCAAGTCAAGGCATATCGCATTTAGTGAACAAATGCGATTGTGAATGGAAGTAGAATGCGTACCGCATCCCAAAAAAATAGATTGATAAACGGCGAAAACATTATGACTTTTTAGTGGCACTATAAAACGATCCATTGCCGCGTTTGTTTTGCAGGACGAAGCTGTTGGTTCAAGCGTCTGGTAATCACATGCTTCGACGGCGTATTCGCTTGGGAATGTCGTATCAAGATGCTCAGTCAGCTATCAGAATTCGTGAGAATGCTAACAAAGAAAACCAATGATAAGTATAGTTCAGTCCTAAGCATGTTCCTCGCTTCAAAAGTCTTGTGGTAGGAAGTGTCTCTCAAAGAGTCATTCGATTTATTGATTTCTTCGCTGCGGATGCTGGAGCATGTCAGGGAGGGTTACGTGACATCTTGAACTTTTGTGCATGGTCCTGTTGCGAAACAAGAGACGCAGACAGATAGAGGGCAGCGCCTGCCAAGGCATCGAGAAGTTCAAGAAACTATGGCGAGCCAGGAAACGAGCTTTTCCAAGGGGAGGGACTCCGGGTGGGTGAGCCACTTATCATATGTGAAAAGCTGGAATGTGCGAAGTCACAATGATCATAGAGTGCCGGGACGAGAGAGAGCAGAGAAAAACACAAATTCGACGCGTTCAAAGGGATTGAGTTCAAGCTGTCTGTAGACCGGCGCGGCCAATCCGTACTCATCTCGGTTTTGAGGCGGGTAAGCGACACCAATGGGTGGAAAACGCGCTGGCGCTTCGCCAAACCCAGTCCCCTCCCCTGCCACATTCCAGCATCCGTAGCGAACAAGACTATTTACAGATTGTCAGTGTTTGTTATTTTTTTATTCCGGGTAAATACGTATATTTTCCTATATTGTGGCATGTATTATACCTTAATTAATATCATTCATTCCTTAGTGGTAGTATCTCTCTGAGAGCTGTATGTTCCTAAATGTCCAACAAAACCTTCAGATTTTGCACTGAGTCGGACAGCTGGAAGAATCAGGCGCATGTTGGTCTACCCTCATTGATTTGTGTCTGAAAACATTAGGAGAAAGTAGTAGATTTGGTGTAACTCACTCTATTATGCGTTTCCTTCTGGTGTGGCTATTCTGTCGTGGTCGCCTTGGTGGTTCCTATCCAAGTTGTTCCACTTCTTTTACTTCTCGACACGGTCTCGGCGCTCCGGCTCCTCGCAAAATCTTTATACCTTCTTATTTTTGTATGTCTCCTTTTAGAGCAGACTATGGTTGGTTGTTAAACATGAGCCTTGTGAATAGCGAATTGTTCGATCTTTTGATATGTTAGTAGAAAATGAACTTTGGATAGTCCTTATTTCTACATGGATTGTAGGCTCTACCATCCCTAAGAAGCGGTCAGACTTCGCGATGGCGCGCGATAAGTCGCGCTGTCGCGAGCTACCATTGCAGAAGAGCATCAGTGCCCTGAGCGGGAACGTAGCTATAAACAGGTAACTATCGACACCCGGCAATAGTGTAGGGTTAGATCCTTCAAGGAGTAGGTTAACCAGGATCCTGCAACCGGAAATGCTAGTCTTGTTCGCTGTGCGTTGATCGGCGGTCCTCATTGGGACCGCCCTTGAGCCCGCGATCCAAAGGATCGCATCCAAATGTCGCGATGCCCATCGCAGCTACGAGAAGCGGCAAATTGTGAGCCGATCGTTGAAATTTTCCTGTGACGCAGAGGCACCTTTTGCAGCCAACTGACCACGAACGGTGATTCCCGTGGATGGATGGGGCCACACATAACCTGTCAATTTGTCATGTCGCTCTTACCATTAGTGACCTCCCCTCCCAAGAAAATTTTCTCCTATTGCGTGAATGGTAGTCCTCATCTTGTCTGCCGGCGTTGCAGTAGGCGGGTATATAGCGAACATTAGACGGGAAAACCTGAAAAAGTGGTATGGGAAGTTTTTTTGTTCCCAGTCTGAGCGGGTCCCGCTCTTCTGTCTTCTTGCCACGCGATTTCCCCAGTGGATGCGCTGTCGAGATAGACCCAACATTAACCACGTTGAAAGAAAAAAAACAACCGAGTTATGCGGGAAAGCGCCACGTGGGACAATGGCGTGCTTTCGCATGCGTCCGCCCTGAGCCACCGGTGGCTCAGGCTGTCCCTCGTGGACCACTTTTTTGCCGCTAATGGTCAAATTTTCGCAAAATGATAAGTCAGTCCGTGTAGGGACCTAGCTATTGTTCAAGCTACCTCCTGACCATTGGATGCCATCTCATGCCCCGGCCTCTGCGATCACTCCCACTTTTTAGCGCGATCGTGATTTCCAAAATGTGTTCCATAACTTCCGTTTCTGAGAATTTCTTGGATTTTCGCTTTTCACCAAATTACAATGATTCAATAGAATGGCCTCACCGAGCTCATACTGGCCACGCCCCACTTCCCAACAAGGTTTGCTTATGTCTAATTCATACTTATCTCAACGCTTGACGCTATCGAGACACCACTCTTCACATATTGCTCACAGAGAAGCATTTCACAAAGAATGCTACGGCACAACTTAGCCTACCCACTTCTAAAATCGATTTCGCGATTTTATAGCCATTACTATCAACTATTTATCCATATTTTATTTCCACTATCCATATTTTATCACTTGTTCACCATCTCAAGATCACCAAACGGCGTTGATACTGAGAACGAATGATACATTCGTGACCAGGATGCCAAATAACCCAGGTGTTCGAGTTTTGTACCCAATTCGGTGCCAAGAAGATCGCTGGCGTCAAAGTGGCGCCCGCTGGCGCCAGGTGGCGCCAACTTTGGAAGGCAAACGATACATTCGTGACAAGGATGGTTCGGTGTCAAAAAGACTGCTGGCGCCAAAGTGGCGCCATATGGCGCCAATGACAAATGAGATCTCACGTTCATGATCAAAGACCCGCGCAGTCCCTGCAGCCAAGGTTTCGTCCAAAAAGAACTATTTGGAGGTTTCTGCCGCAGCAGTAGCTAGTTGAAAAGAAATACATTTAATTCAAAATATCTCATGGGGGCAGCAACATTTTTCTTGCTCATCCTTGTTGGAAACTCACCTTCCACAGCTTACTCGAAAGCAAGAAAAAGATCGAATGAGAAAATGCGGCATAAGCCCAAAAAGTGATGGAGAAAGTCATGAGCCACCGGTGGCTCAGATTGTCCCACGTGGCCACTCACTCATGAGCCACCGGTGGCTCAGGATGTCGTCAACGTGTTAAAGGCTTCCGAGCCAACCGCTGCTTGAAAGAGTCCTCAGAGCGTCCAGTGAGGGTGTTATGCATCAGGGTACAGCACCGTTTGCGCTGCACACGTAGAGGGGGGCCCTACTTTTCGGCTGGGGAAAGGGGAGGTCGTATGCGGCTTCGAAAAGAATTTGCCGTGTGCGGATATCTGGGAAAAAGTTTTTTCACTCGGTTTGTTGACTTTTCGTGATTTTCCCCCCTTTTTCATGTGTTAGTAATTTCCCCGCCCCCCCCCCCCCCCACAAAACGGAAAAGCGTACGAGAATTGGAAGTAGGTGTTGGGGCAAGAGGGGGGGGTCGAACCAAGAACCCTCATCTGTGGGGGGGCTCGATACTGACCACCCCTCTCTCGCAGGGGTCGACCTCAAGCACTAAATTTCACCATCACGATGCTGTACCCTGGTTACTATAAACCAGAGAGTTTGGCCAACGCAGTGAAGCTGCCTAGTGGTTTCTGCCGTGTGGGTACCATAGCACAATCACGGAGCTCCTTATGGATCTGACGTCTGAACTGAAAAGGTTCAATTCTTGCTGTGACTTAAGGTTAGACCTACAAGAATGGACTGATGCAGAGCAGAGTTGTTATCTTTCGTGCTTTCGTTAGAGCCCAAGTTTCTCTCGCATAACTGAGAGTAGGTAGTACTGTAGCACTGAAGAGATCTAACCGGTCCAGGTCACGATTCTGGTATGTACCAAACCGTTTTTCATGAGACTGAAACTGTTTTTAGCATATAGTTATGGCTGGATTTGGGTCTAGGAAGGAAAAGTTCGGCTAGAACCGAACGATGGTGGTAAAAATGTTGTGACAACACTAAGAAATGAGGATCAACAGTAAATTTATTAAAAAAAACAAATGCGAGATATTCACGTATGTAAGCACCGTATAAAGAGTGAGCAACTCGGATTGAATGCAAAGACATAACAACATAATGCAATGAAAATACTTTAAAGTTGAACAACACACACATGAGCAGGGCAGAGCATTGCCTTCATGGAAACGGCTAGCCTTTTGCGGCTACTAGGCAGCCACAGGGTACAGCATCGTTGTGGGAATCCCAGGTCAGGAGATTTGACTTGGTCACTGAGGGAATGGGGTCGTATTCTCCTCTAAGAAATAGTTTTCTGACCACGAGAAAACTCTTTGCGGTTTGACTTTTATCGGGTTTTCCCGGTTTACGAGCGCTATGTATGTTCCCCAGGACAGCGCGGCGACGGAGGGGGAGGGGGCATTTCACACTTTCGCTGCTTCCCATCACCCAGAGAGTTTTTTATGAGCTTACAAGAGTTGACAGGTTTCAAGGTGGTGGCTCTACGAGCTTGCTCCAGCTCCACAAGGGTTCACAAGTTTCACCAGAGTGGGACTTGTAAATCGAAACCAGTGAAGCAGCGAAAGTGCAAAATGCCCCTCGAACCCGGTCGCCGAACTGCTCCCCCTTCAGTCGCCAACGCCACAGAATTACCATACAACATACAATCACTATCTATGATTGTACGATAGTTGAAGTTAGCAGGTAGCGTTAGCAGCCGATTGGTGACAACACGCACCACCCTTGGCACGACGGCAGTTTTTTGGAGAAAAATTAGAAAATTTCTTAGAAAAAAGATAGGTAGTTGGAAAAACTTGGGAAGATGGTAGGTAGGATAGGAGAGAGGGGTCGAACCAGATGAGGAATTTGGGCGAAAGGGTCGTACTGACAATGCCATTCCACACATCACGATACTGTACCCTGGGCAGCCATGTCTAGGCAATGGTCGGCTCATGCACATCTTTGTGTTTACCCGTATCAACACTTAAAAGTAGCGAGCCTGTTGATTTTATCTGTCCATCAGAGCCATTATCAATCTTGATCGATGTCGTCAAAAGTGGCTAGCTTGAAGTCGCCAAAATTCCTTCTGATATCTCGTGACAACGCCTTCATCTCTTCAATGGCCAACCCTTCGTTGTCCGACTGCATCTCGTACTCATTCTCATAGCCAATCGAGTGCACTGATTTCCACCTAAAATTACAAGCGTTTAATGTAATAAGTTAAAAAATAAGTTGAAGCGCGTTCATACTTCGCGATTCAACCGCATGGGTCGCGCGATCGATCGCGACTGGGCCGCGTTCATTCAATTCCTAAATTTGCCCAGATTGAATTCTGCCGTTGTGGCGATGAACCGTTTGGCGGCAGGGTGCTCCGAACGTGGTCACCATCAAAACGGTCGAGCGAACCTATCGCGCGACCCGAGCGATCGAGTCGCGAAGTATGAACGCGCTCTCAAGGAGCTTCTCTTAGTTGTAACTCTCAAAGTTATACTAAAGGTTTCTGCTGTTTGGCTAAAAAAACCCAGATATAATTGTAAAAGAAATAATCACACAAAAGACCCCTGGATATTTTCATTCCCGCCTTTAGCTTTAACAATGGAGTAAAATAACAAGTGATTCCAAAAAAAATAGGCATACCTCAAAGGATCGAGGTCTATACTGCTAGCAAGACTGCTGCACTGGGACTCTGTATCGCCTTCATCGCCCTTTGAACGTATTCGCCAACGCCGTCTTCGTTTCTTGTCTCGAGATCTGAGTTGCATCATTGACGTGTGACGTAAAATTATTGCATATAACGGCACTGTTCGGCTTGGAGGGGGCATTTTGCACTTTGGCTAGTTCCTTTTGTTAGTTTATATTCCCTAGCACAACACTTCGGTGTCGTCTGTACACTTCTGCGAAGCTGCAAAATCGTTCAAGTAAGTCACTTTGGTCACAGGAATTTGCAGGTCTTCACAAAGGGGCCTGTACAAGCTTAGCTTAGTACTATTCGGTGACCCTACCAAGCCAAACTGCGCTCTGTAATAGTTCTCCAGTAAATACCTCGACGTTCGCCCATTCGCGTTCGTTTCGACGTCGGACAACGCGGCTTCAGACTCTGCATTGTCGTATTCGGTATGACAGGCAGAAGACATCGCACGATTTACGGACTTCAAAGAGCCGAAAGCTGTGGGGAACGGCCGATATCTGAATGTTCCTCAGACTTTGGTAATATTCTAAGAGTCTTTCCACTACATATTTCATAGATGGGGGAGGCGTTGCCACTCATTCGGACGTGGTGTAGGATGTGTTTTTTTATCCTTCCACCTGAGACAACTGCCATTCTATCTAGGGCTGGAGAGATACGTGGCTACGACTGTTCCAAAACAAAAATAACCTGCCAGGAGCGGAGCCACCGCCATGTTCGAATGAAGCACGCAGCCACGCCCTCCCCACCTCAGGAATATGATGTTCGATAAAAAGATACTGAAAATGAGTTAAAGGAGGTGTCTTACTCCAATGGCTTGATATCAGCAAATTCGCCATAGGCATTCAGTTCTTGCAGCATTCGATCGACTCGATTTGCAGCCGCCTCAAGTCTTTCGGCGGGATCTACCAGCGAATCGTCGTAATCCGTTGAATTTCCCTGGAAAACAATAAGAAATCGGGAACAGTTAAGTTGAGGATGAGCAAATACTATTAGAGGAAAGCTTATGATTTCCTGCAGGGTTCGCGGACTTTCAAAGGTGTGTGACTCCCTGAACTTCATAGGATAACCATCAGACCCACAACTGGGCCTTCACCGGGGCTTCGGCAAAGGGCACATGAGGCTCATTGACGAGAGAATCCATTTACTCACTCGTAGTAAGGTCATATAACAACACATGTACAACATTACTGGATCCTACTCTGAAGGCAGTGGGCACGATGGCTGGGGGCGGGCGGTTACTGCCAACGTCACTGGTGGAAGGGCTGAGTGTGTGTGCCAAACGCCCTATCGCAGCTCTTCCACCACTGCCGTTGGCAGTGACCCCACTGCCTTTGAGATATCAGTTGAACATCACAGAAAAACGTACCCGTTTCAGCCACGAAAACGGATGTCGCAGCGACGACTTTGAGCCTCCTTGACGACGCTGTCTTCCTGAAACGAGAAAGCTAGAAAGAAGCCTTATTATAAGCAGATTTAGTACAATCTGGTAGAGCCCGACAGGACAGGATGGACATGGAGTAAACGCTACATACCTCGACTTCCACGACTCGGTGCCCGGCTATCCTGCTCGGACCAGTCGGAGTACTGACCAACGTGGTCGCTCTTGTAGTTGTCAGAGAACCTTTGCGCTGACGCACTATCCACTTGGTATGGTTCTCTGGAAGCCACTCGATTTGTCACAGAGCTTTGAATTTAAAACATTGAAATGAAGTTGTTTAGTAAGCTATGAAACGCTCCTAAGTAAGGACCTACCGATATGGATTGTAGTCCGATGCTCGATAGTTGGTACGCAACGGAATTACCGGTTCACGTGGATGGTACCCTGACGTGGACTGGTGCATCAACGCCGTCTCCGGAGTAATCCATTCTACAACACCATAAGTTTAGGAATACAGGTGGTAGTCCAGTACCGCCAAAAATTTCGCGTGAAATTACTAGGAAAATAAAAAGAATGTCTGTTTTGCCCTTGATTTACCGGATTTATCCTCTCGTTTCTTGAAAGCAACGGGCACGATGACTAGAGGCGGGCGGTAACTCCCAACGTCATTGGTGGAAGGGCTGAGTGGGGTGTGGCCAAACGCCTTCTCGCAGCCCTTCCACCAATGACGTTGGCAGCAACCGCCCGCCCCAGCCATCGTTCCCACTGTCCTTAAGGCCGAAATTAATGAAGAGTTGTTCGTGGATTGAATGGTACTGACTGATTATTTTTCAGGTGATTCAAAATCTTAACGCCTACATCCTCTACAGTAGGGAGGACCATTCTCCGGTCGAATCAATGCCGGTCGAATCAATGCCACGAGAGGAACAAGAACGCCATATTAAGAACATGTTCGAAGCAGCGCATAACATCGACGTGAGTACTACCGATTCCCTGGCAGTTCGGCTTGGTGGGGGCGACAAAGGGGCATAACGAAGCCTGTGCAGGCCACCTTGTGAAGACCTGTAAATTCTTGTAATCAACGTGGCTCACTTGTGCCATTTCGCAACTTTACAAGAGTTTATAGGTCTTAATAGCATATGACCTGTTACTTGATATGAATTAGTAAAAGGAACTACCGTAAGTGCGAAGTGACCCTCCCAGCGTCCCCTTCCCTGAAGCTTTCAGCCTTCAGCGGTTTCGGTGGAATAGAACCGCGTGTCGCTTATTATTATTACACCAGTTTCAGTTACAAATGACCTCTTCGATGGCATCGTCGTTCTCATCTGAGTTGCAGTCTATTGACGGAGGTGGTGAGACCGACAGTGATATCGGTGAGTTTATCACGCCTAACTGGTATGAAGAGGTGTTACCCTGTTTTCTGGGGTACAAGGCGCATGAAAGGTCGCACGACAAAAATGATTCAAACCGGCTTACGGTTTGCCCCGTTGTGTGCATTCGCGAAACCGGTACATTTAATTTCACGCGAAATTTTTGGCAGGTACTGGACTACCACCTGTATTCCTAAACTTATGGTGTTGTAGAATGGATTACTCCGGAGACGGCGTTGATGCACCAGTCCACGTCAGGGTACCATCCACGTGAACCGGTAATTCCGTTGCGTACCAACTATCGAGCATCGGACTACAATCCATATCGGTAGGTCCTTATTAGGAGCGTTTCATAGCTTACTAAACAACTTCAATTTCAATGTTTTAAATTCAAATCTCTGTGACAAATCGGGTGGCTTCCAGAGAACCATACCAAGTGGATAGTGCGTCAGCGCAAAGGTTCTCTGACAACTACAAGAGCGACCACGTTGGTCAGTACTCCGACTGGTCCGAGCAGGATAGCCGGGCACCGAGTCGTGGAAGTCGAGGTATGTAGCGTTTACTCCATGTCCATCCTGTCCTGTCGGGCTCTACCAGATTGTACTAAATCTGCTTATAATAAGGCTTCTTTCTAGCTTTCTCGTTTCAGGAAGACAGCGTCGTCAAGGAGGCTCAAAGTCGTCGCTGCGACATCCGTTTTCGTGGCTGAAACGGGTACGTTTTTCTGTGATGTTCAACTGATATCTCAAAGGCAGTGGGGTCACTGCCAACGGCAGTGGTGGAAGAGCTGCGATAGGGCGTTTGGCTTCACACACTCAGCCCTTCCACCAGTGACGTTGGCAGTAACCGCCCCCAGCCATCGTGCCCACTGCCTTCAGAGTAGGATTCAGTAATGTTGTACATGTATTGTTATATGACCTTACTACGAGTGAGTAAATGGATTCTCTCGTCAAAGAGCCTCATGTGCCCTTTGCCGAAGCCCCGGTGAAGGCCAGTTGTGGGTCTGATGGTTATCCTATGAAGTTCAGGGAGTCGACACACCTTTAAAATCCGCGAGCCGATGCAGGCAAATTACTGTTTTCCAGGGAAATTCAACGGATTACGACGATTCGCTGGTAGATCCCGCCGAAAGACTTGAGGCGGCTGCAAATCGAGTCGATCGAATGCTGCAAGAACTGAATGCCTATGGCGAATTTGCTGATATCAAGCCATTGGAGTAAGACACCTCCTTTAACTCATTTTCAGTATATTTTTATCGAACATCATATTCCTGAGGTGGGGAGGGCGTGGCTGCGTGCTTCATTCGAACATGGCGGTGGCTCCGCTCCTGGCAGGTTATTTTTATTTTAGAAACAATCGTAGGCCACGTATCTCCTAGATGAATGGCAGACTCAGGTGGGCGTATAAAAAAACACATCACACCACTGCGAATGAGTGGCAACGCCTCCCCCATCTATGAAATATGTAGTGGAAAGACTCTTAGAATATTACCAAAGTCTGAGGAACATTCAGATATCGGCCGTTCCCCACAGCTTTCGGCTCTTTGAAGTCCGTAAATCGTGCGATGTCTTCTGCCTGTCATACCGAATACGACAATGCAGAGTCTGAAGCCGCGTTGTCCGACGTCGAAACGAACGCGAATGGGCGAACGTCGAGGTATTTACTGAAAAGTATTACACAGCGCAGTTTGGCTTGGTAGGGTCACCAAGTAGTACTAAGCTGAGCTTGTAAGGCCCCTTTGTAAATACCTGCAAATTCCTGTGACCAAAGTGACTTACTCGAACGAACGATTTTGCAGCTTCGCAGAAGTGTACAGACGACACCGAAGTGTTGTGCTAGGGAATATAAACTAACAAAAGGAACTAGCCAAAGTGCAAAATGCCCCCTCCAAGCCGAACAGTGATGCCCTATGCAATAAT